AGGTCTGTTAAGAGCAATACTTTTAATATAGACAAATTATTATTAGGCTGGGCTACTGTACGTTTTTTTTATGACTGCCGTATTCGCAAGTATTTTCCAAGCAAATTAAGTGCACATTTTTATCATGTGTAAAATTACTGATTAACATGGCGGATAAAAGCAGCTTGTTTTTTTTTACACCAACAATATACTGTAGGCGTACTACTTACAGAACTTAATGTGCTGTTGTGGTATCAAATCGCACATTTGGCACACTGCCTTTGTCTTGTCCTCACTCAATTTAAAGTGCTCCCACACAGCTGAGGTCTTCGGCATTTTTGTCTTCTCTTCCAGATGAACTGAATCATGACGTTCACTCATGGGCGATTCATATTCAAGCGCGAATGAGAACCGTTTCGCGGGGGATGCCAGGTGTTTGAAAACAAAAAAAAATAATATTCGAATCTTAAAATTGAAAATCAAATGTCAAACCACCAAACGAATATTCGAATAATCGAATATTCTGGTTCAGCCCTACAATATATGATAAATAATAAATAAATAAATAACAGATGTTACAATTATTTATATATAAATAATGTTGGTCTTAACATAAAAAAAAAATTAGCAACATATTTTACATGTGTAAGGAAAAAAAAAATTATAAATAAATTCACAAATATTCTTTTGCTTGAAAGCAATGTGGTGTAAAACAGTCACATGATTGATGATGAATGATGCTTCTGGGACAATAACAAGTCATTTGTGAAATTTCAACAAAATGTTAGGCAGCTAGATAACATTATCTTGTGACATATTTAAATGAGCAGAATTCATAACAACAACGTTCAATACATTCCAGATCACCAAATATATAAGTTTCGAGGCCTATAACACGTATAAATCAACAAATGTGAGATTTAGAGACAATTGGCCCGAAAGCACAAGAGACAGTTCCTCATATGGCAAAAAATTGGTACTAATATTGATATACCAATACTGATATGGCGCCCCTTAAATAAACAGTATGCAAGATTTTGCACAAACTTAAAAATCATAGAGAAATGCTAGCAGATGAAAATGAACAAAATGTGCTGCGTGATAAAGGGATAAGCCAAATCAACAACAACAAAAGTTACAGAAGAGATCTGAAAGAAGAAAGAATGACGTAGCAAGAAGGTTCATCCAAGCATGTCTGATGTGATAGGATCTTTTTTTCAGCTTTCATGGCCTGTTGCAGCTCACGCCTCTGTCTTAAGGTTCAGTGTGACAAGACGACAATCTTCCTGTCCCTCCACAGAACACCTGCCCTAACACGCATCTATGTGCCTTTGTGTTAACGTACAGCTCTACCAACAAGCACTCGATCTCATATGATGCTAATCTCACCCGGCTAAAAGGAACCGCTAAAGTAGTTTGCTATAAACAACCGTGAATCTTTTCAGCGTCAACTTCATCAAAAATCCCTCTGGGATGGGAACTCAGTGGAATAACCACTGAACAAAAGCTGAAACGATTAGCGTCGCATTTGTACATGAAGTAAGCAAATTTGAATATGCAAAAGCATGTTAATGGATGCTAATGTTTATGCTAATCCTGCATTAAAATTAAAAAAATGCTAATATATATTAATATGCTGAGTAAACATGATAATCTGGTGCTGACATTTCTGCCTGCATGCTAATAGTGTCACAGATGACGATAAGATGAAATAGCTGATTGCCAACTAAAATGGAAAATTAAAACATTAATTTATTTTCAAACAAACCCTTGTTGCAGCAAGATGCTAATCTTTTCTTTTTAATAACCGAAAAAAAAAGAAGAATAAACAACCATTTGGGTGATGAAAGAAATCCAACCCTTACAAAAAATCTGCCATGTTAAAGTAATAATTCACCCAGGAAAATGAATTTGCAGAAAAATTTTACTCACTCTAAGGCCAACATGTAGATGAGTTTGTTTCTTCATCTGAAAAGATTTAGAGAAATGTATCATTACATAACTTGCTAACCAATGGATCCTCTGCATACAGTGAATGGGTGCCGTCAGAATGAGAGTCCAAATAACTAATAAAAACATCATAATAATCCACATGACTCCACTCTATCAAAATCATGTGAAGTGAAAAGCTGCATGTTTGTAAGAAACAAATCCATGAAGACTTTTTTAACTTTAAACTGTTGCTTTCAACTAAAATATGAGCCCTCTAAATATTGCCTTATTTAGTGAAAAAGTTCTCTCGTATAAATCAGGAGAGAAATATGCACAGATAAAGCACTGTTTACATATGAAAACAGTCCAAAATGGAGTCCAAAATAAATTTTGATGTAAGAGGACAACAGAGCTTGGAATTTTTCACTGGATGAAGTGGATTACGGATTTTGGCCAGAAGCGAAGTTTTGAAAACGCCTTAATAATGGATTTTATTTTTTTTTTTACAAACAAGCAGGTTCTCACTTCACAAGATGTTAATTAATGGACTGGAGTAATATAGATTACTTGTGGATTATTGCGATGTTTTTATCAGCTATTTGGACTTTCATTCTGATGGCACCCATTCACTGCAGAGGATCCATTGGAGAGCAAGTGATGTATTGCTAAATTTCCCCAAATCTGTTCTGATAAAAAAACCAAAAAAACTCTACATTTTCGAAGATATCATGGTGAGTAAATTTTCATTTTTGGGTGAACTTTTCCTTTAACCACAGCTTCTGCATTTTTTCCTATGTCAGTAGTGGCTACTTTAGTAACTATTTTGGTGGATACTAAAAGAAACGCATGACCTCAGGAGCAAGGAAACTAAAGAAAAAAAAATTGAGAGCGGCAGCAGCGTAGCTTCCTCCCTGCCTCTCCATAAAAGCCCCAGTGCCGCAGGGACACTAAACACACACAAGGGACACATGCGCTGACGTCCACACACACGGGCCCCCTGAGGCTAGAGCATGAATCAGCAATATTCTTCCCCACTGTCCACTATGTGTGTTTAACCCTGGCCAGGTTGGGTGAGTGCATGTACGCTTGCGTATGTGTGCATCGATGTGTGTGTCTCCCGCAGTCCTGCCTGGGTTTTTTAATTAACTCTGACTCATTAGCGTTGGGGAGAGCTCAGTGTGACAGCTTGGCGCGCTCCTCTGAGGGCCTGTCATGTTATAGAACAGGCTAGAGTTCTCATGGGACACTTGTGCATGCTTCCCTGTCCCACTTGACAAGCGCCGGTGCACACACACACACAGTAGAACGCACACAAGTATACGGGATGAACGGAAAGATAATGGGGAACCTCTATTTGTTTGTCCTCTAAAAGCAATATTGTTTCTTTCTGTCTGGTCACGACAGCACTTTAAAGACGACAGAGAGAGAACGTAAGAGAGAAAAGAAAATACAGTACAAAGGGAGCAGAAAAGATGAAATACAACGGTCGGATGGTAATGGAAGGGTTTTGGACCAAAAGCTGGAGGTTTGTGAAAATAACAGAGGAACGAATTGAGTCTCGGAGGTTTGTCAGTTGTGTGGGTTTCATTTCAACATCAGGGCATGTCTCCAAGCACTCTAAAAAAAAAAAAAAAAAAAACTACAAACAAACAAACAAACAAAAATTACTATGACTTTGAGAAACTAAAAGTGGTTCTTAGCTGGTTTTGCTTCTAGATTCAGATTTTAAATTGGACTTCAAATAGCAACAGAATCAAAATTTTATTCTCTACATTTTTTATCAGTTTAAGCAAACACTGAATGCATTTCCAATAAAATGCACAAACCCAAGAATACACAGCATTTATCTTTGTTGCAAGTTAAGCTACATTTAATGTAGTCCTTATGCTCACCAACATTGCATTTATTTAATCACATATACAGTAAAAAGTTAAATATTATTACAATTTAAAAGAACTGTTTTCTATTTTAATATATTTTAAAATGTAATTTATTTCTGCGATCTGAAAGCTGAATTTTTAGCATCATTACTCCAGTCTTTAGTGTCACGTGATCCTTCAGAAATCATTCTAATATGCTGATTTGCTACTCAAGAAACATATATTATCAATGTTGAAAACAGTTGTGCTGCTTAATATTTTTTTCTTATATTTT